TCTTCATTGCAAGAGAAGTTTTAGAGTCTGGGTGGGAGGAAACCCCAAAAAGTCCTGAGTTCTAATCCTTGCCTTGTCATTTAACTTATTATAGGTACTTAGGAAAAATCTTTTACTTTTTAGTCTTCTCCACTGTGAAATGAGTCAGGGGCTGGCTAATAAAGTCTGCAAGGTCCACGACAGCTCTAGAATTTGAGACCGAGGAGGGGGTTCCAGCCCAGCCGCCCTGGGTCCCTCTCCCCCTTCCCCCAGAATCCCAGCAGGGAGGGAAGAATGAGCCAGATGGCTGGGCAGTGCCCAGCTGGTCCTAAGCTGCCCTGCCCTGCCTCAGGGCCGGAACGCATCGGAGCAGGTGAAGATGCTGCAGCGGATAGAACAGCACAATGCCAGACAGCCTCCAGGGCAGAATATCCGGGTGTCTGTGGAGGTGGAGAAGACCCGAGAGGAGCTGTTCCAGCTGTTTGGCTATGGAGACGTGGTGAGTACTCCATGCAGCTTCTCCTTGCCATATCCAGCTCTTTTGATTCTTAAAAAGGAGCCTGAGCATTCCCTTGGCCTGCCTACCACACCTGAAATGGCTATTCATGGCTTGGTAGTGTTGGCAGGAGGTGGGCAAAGCAAATAGGCTGGACCTCAGCTTTGGGCTTTGGCACAGACCTCTGCAATGACCAAGAAGAATTTTTCTACCTTAGTGGGTGCATAGGTCTGAGGGTGGCCACAGGGCTTGGAAAGGGTCAAGACAGCCAGCCACAGGGCAAGCCTGCATAGAAGCATCTCCTCCCTGACCCTCCTCAGTCTTCTCTGTCACATGAGAGGATGGGACCGTTTCTGAGGTGTCCTCCAACTCTGGGTGGGTGGCAGGTCATGGGTGCCACTAGCGGATAAAAGAGGATGGGAAGGCGACTTGCACAAGATGAATTTGGGCAGGGCTGGATGTAAAAGGAATTGGGTAATAATCCTAGCATCGTAGATGAAAGCTGGTTGGTCCTCAACTCCGGCCGCATGTCAAAATAGTTGGATGCCTGAGCCTCACCCTTGTTGTTATTTGATTGGTAGGGGTGGAGCCTGGGCCGAAGTATTTTTTTTTTAACAGAACTCTGTCTGGTGATTCAAACATGTAGCTGGTGTTGAGGAGGCTTTTGAGCCCCTACCCCTTTGTTTTTAAGATGAAGAAACCAGACCTAGAGGGCATAGTTGTGTGAGGAAAACAAAACAAAAATGCTCCTGAGTGCTGGAGGCTTGGTTGTGGGGGATCTCACCCCAAGATGGCGCTCAAGGCTCGCTTTGGGTTTTTAATTGTGAGGAACCTCATTGATCTTAGAACGAATAGACCAGGGTTGTGTGTCACAATTTACAGGGCCCTATTCTGACATATCTTGAGCAAGTATGAAACTGTGTTTCTGTGAGGCAGTGAGATGCTCTGTTGGGGATTTAGGTGGCTATGTGGAGCAAGGGGGTTATAATGTGAGGGCAACGCTAGGCTGATAGTAGTGAGTGGCTGAGCTAGGAGTAGAGTTAAGGTGATGGTCAGCCTCTCTTTCACTGCCCACAGGTGTTTGTCAGCAAAGATGTGGCCAAGCACTTTGGGTTCCGGTCAGCGGCAGAGGCCCTGAAGGGCTTGTACAGTCGTGTGAGGAAAGGGTGAGCTGGGGGAGGCCAGGAAGAGGCCTTGGGTGTGGGGAGTGGGTGTGCCTGGACTCCAGGGGCTGCCCTGGGGAGGGGGAATGAGGCTGGGGGCCAGGGGTGGGCTAGCACCCAGCTGAATGGAGAGTCTTGCAGGGCCACGCTTGTCTGCGCCTGGGCTGAGGAGGGCGCCGATGCCCTGGGCCCTGACGGACGGCTGCTCCACTCAGATGCTTTCCCACCTCCCCGGGTGGTGGATACTCTAGGGGCGGGAGACACCTTCAACGCCTCCGTCATCTTCAGCCTGTCCCAGGGTGAGTACCTCAGCAGGAGGCTCAAGACTGGGGTCCAGCCTTGCCCAGAAGACCAGGCCGATCCAGCTACTCTCCCTCCCTCCAGGGAAGAGCATGCAGGAGGCACTGAGGTTTGGCTGCCAGGTGGCCGGCAAGAAGTGTGGCCTGCAGGGCTTCGATGGCATCGTGTGAGTGCCCTGTGGCAGGAGGCCCACATTACCGGCCTTTCCCGCTCTGTCCAGCCTGCTCTTGGGCAGATGCAGGCCATGGGCGGGCCCTGCCTATGTCCTGGCCTCCCATATTGCGGAGCTGCAGAGCAAATAAATCTCCTTCCCCAGAGCCTGCTTCCTTCTGGCAGTCTGTCTGTCCTTGATGTCCAAACAGCTCGGGCCAGGGCTGCCGGGGGCTTTGATGCTACAGTCCTTTGCCCTTTTTCTCCATTCCCCCAGTTCACCTCCCCACCCCCATCCCAAGTCCAGAGGAGGGGCTGCCTAGACAGAGCAAAGTGTCCCAAGCTTGTTGCCATCTGTACCCGTGGTGATGGAGGCTCTGTTCAAGGATGGTAGTGACCGAGAGCCTTTCTGACTGGGGAGGATACTAACTCGTTGCACCCCAGGGAACCTTTCAAATAACCACGAGTCATGAGAAAAGCTCCTCTGGGCCCCTGTACTGCCACAAGACTCCAGTCCTGGGGCCCCAAGAGTGGCCCAGGCTGAGCCCACTTGAGAGCAGGGACAAGGAGCCTACTACTTTGTGGTTTGGTGGGGCCTTTGCAGTCCAAAAATATCTCCCCAGTGACTGCCCCAAAGCCCGAAAGCCTCACCCTTGGAGCTGTCTTGTATTTAAGGTGATGCTTCAGCCACAAATGTGACCCCAGACACAGATCATTGCTAGCCTTGGGGGAGATCAGGGCTGAGGGCATATTGGAGTTAGCCAGTTCCCACAGGGGAGTTGGGGCAGGGTGCGTGAGGCAACAAAATGTGATAAAGAGCATGGGCTTTGGAGTCAGACCTGAACTCAAATCTGCTGCTTCATTAGCTGTGTCACCTTGGGTACAGTACTGAACTCAAGTGTCCTCAATTTCCTCATCTGTCAAATGAAACTAATTATGTCTGGTCATAGAATTATTGTGAGGATAAGATCAGACAATATATAAAATTCCCAGCATGATGTTGGTGTGTGTAAGGCTCTCAATAAATGGTAGTTATTGTTAATATTATGGCGGGGCGGGGGGAGTACAGGTATTGGGGAAGATCTGCCCTGACCTGCAGGGGGCACTGGGTGTCTGAATACTAGGTGAGGGGGGAACCGAACCGTTTGGGCCCCAGGGAGAGGCTGAGCTCTCTTCCTGGGTTGTCTGCAGCTGGCTATGGCCTAGTGCTATACTCTGCTGTGTCTCAGCATCATCTGGGAACACTGAGAAAGCTGAATCCCTGCTCCTGCAAGAGGCCGGTCCAGTCTCCAACCCCCGCATCCCTGAGGTCTGGGCAGGCTGGACCAGTAGATAGATGGTCCAGGGAAATGAGTTCATTCAGTTCTTTATTGGTTGCCTGGGTCCTAAAGCTTTATTGGTTGGTTGTCTAGGTCCTCTCAACTTAAAGCCTCCCTGCACTGCACAGGAAGACCTGCCACCCGCTGGGGCCAGAAAGGGGACATAGAGGTGGTCCTTGTCCCAACATACATATCCACCCTTCGGGGCTATGTTCTGGCACTGAGACTTCTAGGAGTACAAACCTGTATCCTCAACATTTATATCTCATCGTTCTCCATTTGAATAGCATGAACCTCAAACCCGTTTGGGATGTTGTTAAACTCCAGTGTTTCCCCTGGAAGCTCTTTGGCTTCCTCTCTAGTGTCCCTAGCCTCTGCCTGTGCCCCAGCCTCCCCTCCAGGGCCTGGGGCTTCTCCTCCAGCCTCTGCCTGTGCCCCAGCCTCCCCTCCAGGGCCTGGGGCTTCTCCTCCAGCCTCTGCCTGTCCCCCAGCCTCCCCTCCAGGGCCTGGGGCTTCTCCTCCAGCCTCTGCCTGTCCCTCAGCCTCCTGCCTGTGCCCCAGCCTCCCCTCCAGGGCCTGGGGCTTCTCCTCCAGCCTCTGCCTGTCCCCCAGCCTCCCCTCCAGGGCCTGGGGCTTCTCCTCCAGCCTCTGCCTGTCCCCCAGCCTCCCCTCCAGGGCCTGGGGCTTCTCCTCCAGCCTCTGCCTGTCCCTCAGCCTCCTGTACAGGCTCCAAGGACTCCCTTCTGGCCTCCACTTGTCCCCCAGCTTCTTCTTTGAGGCCCAGAGCTTCCTGTGCTTCTTGTCTTGGTGAGCTTTTAGCGAACAGGGACTGCCTCCCAACATCTTGTAGCTCCAGGGGCTGTCCGGGGAAGTTGATGAGCTCTGCAGGGGTCATGAGCCCATCCCCATTCAGGTCCTGGGTCTCAAGCACTTTGTCCACTATCAGGATCACCTGTGGAAGCACACAGTGGTTGTGGGGTCTACAGTGATCAGAGATATTTCCAGGAGCCCTGGCCCCCCCAACATCACCCCCCCCCCGCCCCCCAACCCATCCTTGTCATGCAGGCTTTGAGCATTCCTGGGGATTCACTAAAAGAGTGATGATGAAAAAAAAAAACAAAGCCCCAATGCCTCATGGGAGAAGAGACCCCATCCAGCAGGGCTTACCGGGTTGGTGGTGGGAGAGTCAGTAGCTCCAGGGGCCAGAGCTGCTGTCAACATAGATAACAGCTCCAGGCCATCCAGCTGTCCACTCTGGTCATAGTCATGGAGGGCAAAGAGGTAGAGGAGAACTAAGGAAAAGAAACTGGATCAGAAGTGGTGTTGCGGGCAGATAGAAGAGACAGGAGACAATGGGACAGCCCAAGGTCAGTCCCAGCTCTGGCTTCCCTGAGCCTCCCATCCCCTGGCCCCATCAACCCAGCCCCTCACCCTGCTCCCGGCTCATGTGCTCTGGCTCCTCTTCCATCCTCTCTAGTCCCTTTAGGTAACTCTGTAGAAGTCTGACAGAAAAGTGGAAAATCAGCTCACAAGAGGCCAGTCTGCAGCCCCAGGCCTAGTCCTCAAACCTCCAGCCCAGCCTTCTCACCGGAGCTGCTCCTGGCCTGGCTGGAAGGGGTTGGGTAAGGGCTGCTGCTGCATTTCAGGGTCCAGCCTGGAGGAGGGAGGGGAGGATTAGCCTTGCAAAGAGCCTCCCGGAGGGCCCTGCCTCCAGTCTTCCACCCCAAAGCTCCTGGCAGTTCTCTCCCCAGACCCAAAGGGAGTTGTTTCCCCAAGTTCCCAAAAACCTTGTGGGGAGGAGGCCCATCTAGTCTCCTCAGAGGCAGAACCTTATTCTCTCAGACTCTGGGTTTGCAGATTCTTAACTTAGATGGTAAGTGAAAAGCCCCATAAAACATCTGGGTAGACAGAGGCCAGACAAAGCCACACTTAGTAGACACAAGTTGGCAACCCAAGAAACAATGCAGTGGTGGACAGAACAATGTGGATCGTGGCAACCCTTCTACTTTGATGCTGAGACCAAGAGGCAGGTCTCTGGCTGAGCCAGTGGCACTACTCAGTTTTATGCAGACTCGTTTTACTCCATAACACAAAATGGACTCTTTGTTTCCCTCCAAGTTGAAGACATATATGTTGGTTTTGGAGTTTCAATCTGCTCAGGGTCTCTTAGTCAGTCTTAAGTTCAAGATTTGCTCCTCGTTCCGGACAAAGCCCAAGTCAATCCAGACCTGTGACTCCAAAGAGCTGGCAGGAGCTGCTACCACAACTGTTGTCACTGCTGCCAATCTTTGCTGCTGTTCCTGTATCTGTCCCCTACCCCACCCAAAATACACACTGCATAGGCACAAGAAAGGAATTCAAATAAAAATAGACGTGATTTGTTAACGAGCTCTGTTTCTTCGGGGTTCCCGCTATACGGTCTTGGTAAGAGGACTGCAGCCCCCTCCCTGGCCCACAGCTTCATCCCTGTGCTTCACACCTCATTGGAACTGAGATCCTGGCTCCAAATGAGTCCAGCAGACATGTATTGCAGACCCGCTTTGCACTGGGCATTCTCACAGGCACAAGGCAGAGGGGGAAGTGGGTGCGGAGGGATATAGAGGCCTCTTGCCTCACAGAGACACCGTCAGATTCTCCAAGACTCCCCCTGCTCCTGGTCCTTGACCCTCTGCCCTCGGAATCTCATTACCTCATGATTCCATCCCTGGGAGCAGCCAGACTCAGAGGCAGCAGCAGCAGCACTGATATTCTCATGAGCAACATCCTTCCTGGAACTGGAACACGTAACGTCTTTCCTAGGAACGGAATTAGGGAGTCAGGGGCAAGAGGTGTCTGTCAAAGAGTGGGGGATCAATGGGGATTGCCTTCTTTTCCTGCCTCTACCTGCAGCCCAGGTGACAGGACTCCTGCTTGAGGAGGAGCCACATGTGGACATCAGCGATCACCTGTGGAACTTGGCTCAAAATAAAATTTGCTCCAGATCCAGTGTGTAAGGTGCTCAGAGCAGACTTGCTCTAATGGAAGCAGTGCTGTGGGCAGGAGCCCCTCCCCACCCCCCATTCCCCTTGCCCCGCCAGCCCCCCAGGTGCTCAGAGAAGTACAGTTTAAGTGCATTGGATCCAGTTTAGTCCACTCGCTTTGCAGATGGAAATGAGCTCAAAGAGGTTAAGAAAAAAGCCAAATTAGAAATGCAGAAAGTCATAAAAAGACCAAGACTTAAATAGAGAGGCAGATTGTCAGTTTGTATTTATTAAAAAAACACCCAAGAACAAATTAAGAGAGGCTCAGACTCCTTGAAATAGGTTTAAACTCACGTAGGGATTGAAAACACAACAAACCAGGGTCAAAGCAACAGCAGCCCCAAGAACTGCTACTTACTACAGTTAGGAAATTGGGTCCCAATGTGAAGGAAGTAAGAAAAACTTCCCCTTACGCCTACACAATCATTTGATGATATGAAAACAGTCAAACAGAGAGGATCAATCAAAAGCCTAGAGCACAAAACTTTCTGATGAGTCCTTCAGGGGTGTTCCTGAGGAAGCAGACGCCCACCAAAGCTGAGGCCTGAGACCCCACGCTCATCGCTAGGAAGACAAATCATCAGGTGCTCGGTTTAGGCAGAGGGTGAAGAACTCTCTGAAACAGTGCCCTCCACTCTGGCTGGTGTTCCATTTTCCTAGAGAAAGGTTCATATCTTTCAGCAGATTCTCAAAGAGTTCCATGACCCCGACAAGGTTCCGAACTATTGCAAGGGTGGACGTCAGCTTCCTAAGAGATGCGGGAAAGAGCAGGCGAGCATCTGGTTAACAGGAAGATATGTGATGTGGGAGCCTGGCTGTAGCCGTGCCAGCAGAACTGCCCTGAGGCAGCAGCAGCAAACATGGAAGCTCACAAAAGGCGAAGCTACCGAGAGTCCTAGAAACTGTTTTCAGTTTTCTATGCATACGTTAACCCCGAAGGATACGGTCTACGTAGTTAGTCCAAACTCCCCAGTGGTCAAACGGGTGCTGAAACCACAGCTGCTTCAAAGGTGTTCACAAACACTGGCTGGCAACGCAGGTCCTTGGGCTTTAGTTGTTGCACCCAGGAGAGAAAACCTCGGGCTGGTGAATGGGAGGCAGCTGGAACCGAGATCTCCATAGTAAGTGGGGACCCTCAGAGGTTCCACCACAGTGGGCACCCCTCATTGAAAAGATGGACTGGTCTGGTAGTATAAGAGTAGATGTCCCAGTGAAAGTAAGTCCGAAAATAGAAAGTATTTTTCTATTTGGTAAATTTTTCTATTGGATAAAAATAGAAAGTATTTTTTCAAATGCAATGAGTTGGCAAAGAAGTAAATTCTCTTGGATTACAAAAGCACAGTGAAGCCTGTAATCCCGGGGGAAAAGTCAGCTTGACGTCAGCTTCTGCCTTAAGAGTATCTGCCAAACCAAACCCCAGGTGAACTTAAGCTACCGGTTTGAGCGCTTTGTGCAATAGAGGAGACCAGAGATAAAGCTTGGACCCATCCAATGTGAGGAGACTAATAGGGAGATTACCTGTGTAAAGCTGGGATTCAAATAGCTCAACTCTCAATCTAAGGGTGAACAAAAAGTAAATTTGCCTGAAGAAGGGCAGCACAGAGTCTTACTTATTTTGACTTTGGCACAGGGTAGAAGGGAGAAAAATATCTTCCTTTGAAGAGGAATTTCCCACTTAATTGGCCAACATTTCTAATCAGTTCTTTTTTTTTTTTCTGCTTCTGTAAATATACTTGCTACATAGTACAAAGATCTCGGGGTCAACTGAGAACTCACCCTCCCCTTAAGATATATTGCTTTTAGTGTTTAGACAGATGTATCCCCTCTCTTTAAGATGTATTGCTTTGGTGCTTGTTAGAAAAGATGTATTGCTTTAGTGCTTGTTAGAAAATCTCATGCTCTGTAACTGCCCGTAGCCCATAGCAATTTCAGGGGTCTGTAAATCAGCCCATGCCAACTGTAACAACCGGGCGTATAAGTAGTGAAATTGCCCCTAAGCTCAAGGCCCAGATTTTCAGAGCACTAGCTCTTCTGGGACCACCGGTGTCATAAGACAGTTCCCTTCCTCTCTGGGTTACTGCTTGGATTTTCGCTGGTCTGATTTTTGGAGCTTTTGGGATTTTTCCATAACACCTTGAGAATTTGTAACAAGTCTGCTCTCATGTGGATTCAAGGCCTGAATTAATGCTACCTCTGTGGTTCAAAAACCTAAAGCAGATCATTTATTTTGAAGTGGTACCTCGTTCATAGTACCCCTAGTTGACCGACAGAAGAAAATATACACCTTGTTGGGAGGAACACAACTCCAATCCATGCTCAGAGAAGTTCCATAGGTAAAGTTCAAGGAGCATGAATTCACAACCAAAAAGTCATAAACGCCCAAGGAAATAAGACACTGCGAATAGCAGCCAGCTAAACAATAGCAGGCAAAGCCATACTCACAAAAACTGAAGAGAGTAGAATTATCACACAGAGAACATAAAGAATATTTAATGTGTTTTAAAGAGAAATTTGCAACTATGAGAAAGAGTTAAGAGTATAAAAATGATCAAATAGATTTGAAGACCAAATATAACATACACAAATATAAAGAAAAGATCGATTTAAAAAATGCAATGAATTACAGTTCAAAAACAAGGTTGAAACTAATGTACAATGAAAAGTTACAACAGCAGTAACCTCTGGGAAGAAGAGAAGGGAAAGAAGTCAGGAAGGAATACAATTAGGAGCGGACCAGTGTCAGGCCTCCAGGGCGCTAGCATATTCTGTGTCTGGACCTAGGTGCTTGGGCATGCTCACTTGGAGATCAGTCTATTTTATTGGCATTTTGTACACACATGTATTATACTCCAATAAAAAAGTTTAAGGATGAGAAACATAAAAATAAGTGCAATGAGTAAAATATATTAGACATAGATGATATGAGAATTAATAAATTGGAAAATAGATCTGAATAAATTATCCAGATTACAGTTTGTGGGGAAGGAACGAGCTTTCTTCCACCCTCAAGGTTCTTTCGGCTGGTCTAATAATCAAATAGACATGAGACAGATTAGCAAGAGAAAATAACCAAATTTAATACATATATATGTATGGAAACCTCACATACATGAGAGAGTCAGAGACCCCACAAGCACAGAGGTTCAGAGGTAGAAAGGGGAACTGAGGGATACAAAACATCCTAAACTAGGGAGATGGTAAGGTGCCTTAGGGGTTTCAGAGGATTTCTGCAGGAGGATAAGAAGAATGAACAATCTGTAAATAGAAGTTTGTCCTGCCCTGCAGACAAGTCAAAAGAGATTATCTCGACAATCTCTCATCAAAGGCAAGGCCCCTAAGTCATATTCTTCCAAGTAGTCAAAGGAGGGGCAAAAGTTTCTCCTGAGCCCGAAGCTAAAGTTGCTCTTAGCTCTAAACAATCCATGAGCCACAGAAGCACATCTTGGGGTGACTAGTTCTGAACCCCCACAACTTCACGGAATCAAAGACAGGAAAAAAAAGGTTAAGTGGCATGGAGGATGGAAGAGATAATAGAGAAAACTGGATAGAAGTAGTACTTGAAGAAATAACAGTTGAGATTTTTCTAGTATGTTGCAAAACACTACTATTCCAATCCATGAAGTCCAACAATCCCAGGCAGATTAAATAAACAGAAATCCACACCTGGAGCTTTTGTGAAACTAGAGAACAAGAAAAAGAGATGATCTTAAAGCAGTCAGAAAGAAAATGCAAATTACCTATAAGGAAGAGTAGACTGACAGTTGATTTTCAACAGCAACAGTGATGCCAGAATACAGTAATATTGTATTTTAATATGTTGAGAAGTATGTGAGTGGGGGGGATTGCTACTCTAGAACTCTATTCTCAGCAAAATGCTCTTTCATGAATGAGGTAGAACAACAATAATTTTAGATAAACAACAAATCAAAGAATTTACCACTAACATTCCTTCATTAAAAGAAATTCTAAGGTATCTATTTCAGGAAAAAGAAAATGATCCTATTATGGTCTCAGTGGTTTGAAATGCAAAAAAAAAAAAAAATGGTGAGAAAAAAATAGAAAGTATATGGGAAAATATAAACAAACATAGACTATTAAACTATGATAATTATGTTAATATTTATTGTTAATTATGTTAATATTTATAATTATGGGGCAAAAAGTGGACTAAACTATAATATTAGACAACAATAAGATATAAAGAAAGAATGGTTGTTTGGGAAGAGAATAGACGTACTGACCAACTTTGTTAAATATGCATATAAAAATTTTAAGGATAACCACTAAAAGAGCAGAAATGGAATGTACGACAACCAACCAGCACAGAATAAAATGAATGGAATTTAAAAAAAAAAACAAAAAACAATTCGAAGGAAGGCAGGAAAAGAGAAAAGAGAGACTAAAAAAATTAAATTAAAAAGGTAGACAAATAGCATAAAATAAGATGGTAAAGATAGATCCAAGTATGTCGGTAATCATAAAAAAATATAAACTCATCATATAGGAACTAGAGATTATCAAAATGCACATAAAACAAAATACCGTTACATGCAATTTTCAAGAGCTTAACCTAAAAATAAAGACAGAAATGTTGAAAGAAAAGAATGGATGAAGGATATATAAAGCAATACTAGACAAAAGAAAACTGGTTTTAGTTTTAATGATGTTTTATTAGTTTTAATGATGTTAGATTAGATTTTAATGATGTTAGATTAGACTTTAAGGTGAAAAGCATTATTATAGATAAGAGTGTCATTACAAAATTCACAAAAGTT